TTTCCAAAAAATGACTCACACAATTGTGGAAAGTGGCAAGTGAGTGAGTGAATAACTAATGTTTAGTACATATGCAATCTTCAAATTTATGTAAATTTAATTATTTTGTCATGCATTCTTTGCAATAATAAAGAATTAGTGCAGTTATATAGTTTGTTATATGAATGCTAATATAAAATTTTTAAGTATTGTAAAATTATTTAAAACTGTTTTTATCCTCTATTTGGAATTTCTAGTAATTATGTTCTTTGATTATCTTGCTGTAGGTTACTTATCTAATCAATATTAAGGGGAAAGCATATACCATTCATCTTGAAAAACAGTAAGTAAACAGTCTTTCCACATCTTTGTTTTCACTATGTATTTAAGCACTTGGATTTTCTGTTTTACTTTGACTTTGTTAGAAAGCCACGATTAACATTCATGAGTATATCTTTCCACAGTGTTCTATCCTAATTTCCATTTTTCCTTAAAAAAAAAAAAAGGAACAGATCTATGAAACCCAAACCTAAACGCATTGTTATTGGGTCAGTTATGACTTATAGCAACGCTATAGTACATGGTAGAATTGCCCTGTGGTTTTCTAGATTAAGTACTCATGGCACTAGAAAGCCTCATCATTCTCATGTGTTGTGCCATTGGTTTCAAACACCTGACTTTGAGGTTAGCAGCTCAACTCATTACCCACTATACCACCAGAGCTCCTTACAGAAATCTATAGGCAGATATATTATTTTCCACAGATGTAATGATCTTAGATGTAGTATTTTGTGCCTAGAAGGTATTATTTAGTGATGCATAGTGTTTATTTTCTTGTTCTCTCTCTATACCAATATAAGAGGCTTTGTGGTGTAGTAGTAGTTACTCATTGGGCTACCAACCTAAAGGTCAGCAGTTTGAAACCAGCAATTGCTCCACAGGTGAAAGATGGGGTTTTCTACACTGGTAAAGAGCTACAGTCGCGGCAACTCACCCAGGCAGTTCTACCCTGTTCTATAGGGTAGCCAGGAGTCAGAGTCTATTCGTTAGCAATGGGCTTTGAGTGTTTACTTTCTAAGTGCAATGTATAAACACTGCATAACCCAATATTATACCTTGTTCCACCGGGTTCCTTATAGCAACCAGTAGGCAGAAATACTATTTTCCACAAATGTCATTATTCTAGATATAGTACTTTACAACAGAAAATTCTTATTTAGTAATGCAGAGTGTTTATTTTCCTTGTTCTACATATACACGGGGGGACTTCAGAAAGTTATGAATGAATTCCATTATCTTCTGATTCCGTGTTTTCATGAAGTTCTGGAAGTCACCTTTTCATTTAGATCATTCTTTAATTAATAGATAGCACCCTGGTAGCTTAGTGGTTGTGCATTGGGCTGTGAGCCTCATGGTTGGCAGTTGGAAACCATTCACTTCTTTGCTGCAGAAAGACGGGGCTTTCTACTTCCATACACAGTTACAGTCTTGGAAACCCCCAGGGGGCCGCTATGGCAGTGAGTTTAATTAATAGATACTATTCTGTAATGCATATTATTTATAGGTAATAAGTTCATTTCTAAACATTGCTTCTATGTTGTTACTTGGTTTCATTGAATTGTACAATTCGATGTAGGAAACAGAATAAACCATTGCCCAATTCTGCCTATTGTCACGTTCATTGTTATGCTTGAGCCCATGGTTGCAGCTATTATGTCATCCTTCTCCTTGAGGCTCTTCCTCTTTTTCACCGACCCTCTGCTTTACAAAGCACTGCGTACTTTTCCAGGGACGGGTCTCTTCTGATGGTTTGCACGGATTACATGGGACGTTCTCTCCATGCTTATTTCTAATGAGCATTGTATTGTGCTCACTCTAGCCTAGATTTATTGTTGTCATTTTTGTGAAAGTCCCCGGTATATTTAATTTTCTTTGCCAACATCATGTTTCATAGTCATTAATTCTTCTTCAGTCTTCCTTATTCATTGCTCCACCTTCACATGCATGTGAAGTGATTAAAGATATTATGCTCTTGGTCAAAGTGACATGTTTGTTTTTAACAATTAAAATAGATATTTTGCTGCAGATTTATCCAATGAAATTCACCTTTTGATTTCCTGACTGTTGCTTCCAGGGCCATTAAATGTAGATCTTAATAAAATTATATTCTTGACAACTTCAATCTATTCCCAAATATCGTGATGCTGCTTATTGGTCTAGTTTTGCACATTTTTGTTTTCTTTATGTTGAAATGCAATTTTGAAAGCTTTAGTCTGATCTTCATCAGCAAGCGCTTTAGATCTTACCTTTCAGCAAGCAAGATTATATCATTGGTATACCACAGATTGTTAATGCGTCTTCCTTTAATCCTGATGCCAAGTTCTGCTCCATATAGTCCACCCTTTCTGATTATTTGCTCAGTATACAAATGGAACTTCAGTGAGATGACATAACTCATGCATACCTTTTCTTGTATGAAACAATGCAGTATCTTTTTGTTCTTTTTGATCCACCGCTTCTTGATCTATGTAGAGGTATGATAGTAGACAATTAAGTCTGTCATTCCCATGGTTCACAGATTTACAGTTGTGCAAACAAAACGATGGTTTAAAATCAGGAAAAGTGTTTGCCGGTTTGTAACCTCTCACCATACTCCTTCAATCTGTTTCCTGAGCAAATCATCAGAGAAGGAGGATTACATGAAGGATTACATTAGGATTACATTCGGTTTGGAGGAAGGCTTATTAAAAACATAAGCTATGCAGCTGACACAACTTTGCTTACTGAAAGTGAGGAGGACTTGAAGCACTTGCTGAAGATCAAGAACTGCAGCTTACAGGCCATGGTAAAGAAGACCAAAATCCTCACACGTGGTCCGGTAGTTGACATCATCGGACATGGAGAAAAGGCTGAAGTTGTCAAGGATATCTTCTCGCTTCGATACAGTCCATGCTCATGGAAGCAGCAGTTAAGGGATAAAAAGAGGGGCTGCTTTAGGTAAATCTGCTGCATACGACCTCTCCAGAGTATGGCGTATAGAGTATGGAAAAGCAGGGATGTTACTTCAAGGACTAAGGGGTGCCTGCCCCACGTCATGGCATTTCCCATTTCCTCATATGCATGTGAATGCTGCACATCGAGTTACTAAGATCGAGGAAACATTGATGCACTTGAATGTGGTGCTGGCAAAGAATATTGAAAACATCATGAATTGCTAAAGGGACAAACACACCTAGGGCCATAATGCCTCTTAGAGGCAAGGATGACAAGACTTGATCTTACATATTTTGAACGTGTTTCCAGTAGAGACCAGTCTCTGAAGAAGGACGTTATGCTGGGAAAAAGCAGGGGTAGAAAAAAAGAAAAAGGTGGCCAAGTAGATGGATTGACACAACAGCTGCTCAGACATAGAAACAATCATGAGAAAGAAGCAGACCTTGCCTGTATTTCCTTCTGTTGTGCATGTGGTCACTATGAATTGGACCCAATTTGATGGCACCTGACAGCAACACCATTTCATAGTATTGCTATCTGAGAAAATGGCTTGTATTATTTCCATGTTTTTAAATTTTTGATTTAAACTAAAGAATGTTCCATGTGTGCTTGAAAGGGCTGTATATTGTGCTGTTGTTGGTTGGAAGTGAGTAATTGTATTGTTTACTTCATCTTTGCTTTTGTTGAGTTTATTTTTGGTTGTTCTGTCCTTCCTTAAGAATGGTGTATTGAAAATCCCTGCTATTATTATTCTCTGTTTCTCTCTTTGTTTCTGTAAAACTCAGCCAAACTCATGGGATCAAGTCAATTCTGACTCATGAAGCCCTATAGGATGAGGCAGAATTGCCCCTGTGGGTTTCCAAGACTGTAATTCTTCGCAGGAGTACATAGCCTCATCTTTCTCCTGTGCAGCAGCTGCTGGTTTCGAGCAGCTTACCTTGAAGTTATCAGCCCATATACAGCCCACCACAGCACCAAAGTATCTTCAAATCTGTAAGGATTTGGCGAATGTATTTTGAAGGTCTTTCATAGATATTTATTATGGGGATGTCTTCTGTTCAGTTGTCTCCTTGATCAATTGTCTCATAATTGATTTTGCCTT